CCCCCTCCTGTTTCGCCCCAACGTTGAATCCCCTTTCTAAAAATGCTGGCGCCCTTCCCTTTTTTCAAGTCTCCTTGTCTCGAGGTCAGGCGACCGTGCGCAGGCAGCTGTCTGCGCCTGACTGACCTGAAGCCTCTCGACCCATTCCCACTCGCATACACACGCGTTCTCAAAACAGCCGCAGCTTCAAAAGTGTCGCTAGAACATGTCACCCTTTAGCCAACGATACTTTCACGCCACCCCTCTTGTTCAAGTAGAACTTCTTCCATATTCAGCTGTTGTGCCTGGTTGACCTTTACACAATTGATTCAGTTCTCTTCGCGTGCAAGACAACTGCGGCTGCTCCGAGGGTCACTTAAACGCCCTCCCCCCTGGCCTACGCAGTATAGGCCTCTGTATATGACAGCCCTTCGAGCAATGCAGCTCACCAATGGAACACCATATAAAGGGGCTTCGAAGTCACATAAAAGCAGCGGTCGTACCCTTTCCCACCACACACGCTCTCCCAGGCCCGAATTTGCCCTGCAAACGTGTGGCATTATTGGACATGTGTCGTCTCTTTTTCTAGAATCAGACGATATTTGGCCGACCCCCTTGCTCTTGACTGCGTGTATCCATTGTTGAACTTTGTACCTCGTTTATTCTTCACCATTTGTTTGATAGTACCGTATTACATTGATAGTTGATAGCATTGGGAGTTGACATAAGCTTTACTATTGGATACAGAGTCAAAAAGATGCAAGAATCTCGAAACAGTGGGTTTTGTAGACGACCATTCAGGTATGGAGCCAATAAAATACCGAACATATTGTTAATCCTCTGTCCTGCTCCATTTCCTCAAGAATGCTCATATATCTGACCCCATGACATAGAACTCGCCAGGTCTACTGAATGGGAGGTTTCGCAATTCGATAACGTCGAATATTTCTAACGAATCGTAAACTTTTCTCAATATTTCTGCTAAGACTGTCTTTCAAACCCTGTAGTTCTTGATGGATTTTTCTGCTATTTTGCCTCGTTACTCGTATAGCAAATTTAGTAATTCCAAAGTTAGTCAAAAGCGCCCTTCCGTTTTCACGTGTAGTAGCAACGTGAGGGTGCAACTCCCACACGCTCGCCGAAGTAAGCGAACAGCTAGCGACTCTCAAAAAAGACTTTTAATAGGTATACATTGATTGACGCAATAGCTGTGAATTCGCGGCTGCGATGAGTCATTCTGTCGGAAACCTATAGAAACTAAAGGTATCTTCTTCAACTCCGTAAAATACCTAGGTGAAAGGTCTAGTGTTTCTGATGGTGAAATCAGTAACCAGAACAAAGTCATTTGGTTTGGTCGCATCAAAATTAAGTATACGTTGAGCCTCCTCTATGATCGCTTATTCCAAGGTAAGGGGGAATTACGTGTTCTTGCAAAGGCGTCGTCCCTCCGAACACAACCTGGAACCCTCATCTCCGACTATTTTGCCCGATTCTACGATTTTTGAATTCACCGGCGGTAAGTATATGGGTAGAAGGAGTCTAGTGAGTAGGTCAAATAAATATTCACAAGGTATCCCGCATAATGAGCAGGCGAGCCTAACT